GCAGGCCTGGCGTGGGACTCCTAGAAGGCACGCTAAATCGGTTTATTCCAATCCCAGGGTCGACTTGGCGGACAAACTTCTCATCTTTGCATCGGTCGTGGAGTCCACCCTCTTTTATGGGGCTGGAACCTGGACAGGGATCAGCAAGTCTGTCGTTGCTGCGCTTGAACGGGCATACACTGACATGATTCGACGAATCCTCCACCGTACGTGCAACTGGGATGTCTTTCATGCTGGATCTCAAAGAGTTTTGGTTTCGGCAGGGGTCCCATCTCTGTCTGCTCAGCTGCATCTCCATAGACTAAGATACCTGGTATCCTTTGTTGCAGTTGGGGTCGATGAGGCTTGGGCGATTGTGCGCCAAGAGCAGACATGGCTATCTCTTGTTCGAGACTCCTTTGGATGGCTTTGGACTTGTGTGGATGGGGGCCGCCAGTATCGTACCTGGGCACTAGCAGTTCCAAGTTGGCTTCAGCTCATGCAGCAGAAACCTAGGCAGTGGAAGGCGCTTTTGAACCGAGCGCGTCACATCTGCATCTGGGAGGCCCGCCTTGATGATCTCCGACAACGTTTTCTTGGGTTGTTAGTTCGTCAGCTCCTCTTGACCGGTGTTCCACTGAGGGAGGATGAACATTTCACCTGTGATTATGACGGTCCGCGTTTGGAGGCTTGTGGGCTATGTGAGCGGTTTTTCAAGAGCAAGCAGGCCGTTTCGGTGCATGCTTTCCGCTGTCTTGGGCGCGTGAGAGAGGCAAGAAGGATTGTTGACGGTTTGCATTGTCCATCGTGTTTGAAACTTTATGCTTCACATGAGCGGCTATGTAACCACCTGCATCATTCTAGGGCCTGCCATCACAAATTGAAGTCAGCAGGCTTCAGCATACAATTCAAAAGACAGCAAGCCGTGTTTGCGCCGTGTTTGCCAGCGTCTGGACCATTGCTAGAGGATGCTGTGATTGAGGGAGATTTAGTTCCCCCACAAGTCGAAGCCCTGGCCACTGACTTGGGTCAATTGATCGTTGGGGATGCCTGGTCTTCTTGGCAGGTTTTGCTGGAAGCATGCCGACAGGTTCTACTTGGCCACTGTGCAACATGTGAAGACGTTGAAGCCTCTGCTCGGGTTCTCCTTTGCAGAATAGATGGCGAGGGCTTTGAGGGGCACGGTATCACCCAAGTTGCGCACATGAGGCGAGCTCTTGTTTGGTTGGGCACGCATTATGATGCAGAATGGTTACTGGACGGACCTGTTGCCTTCTCCAACACTGCCTTTAGCAAGTACAGGGATGCTAAGGTTCTTTGGGCTTCACTTGATTTTACTGGCATTTCCTTCTCTATTTGGGAGAGTGCTTGCTCAAATATTACTCATGGAGTTCTCATGGAGGAGTTCCGCAGCTGGAGTCATGGTCGCTTTCAGTTTGCCTCACTGATCTTCCTTTCACTTGCTGATGATGCCGGGCCTGCACGAGTCTGCGAAGCCCTGGGGCTTGAATCTGAGTTTGGCACACAAGATGACTTGGTGTACATTAACGTCAGTTCCCCTAACTTCAATGTTGTGCTTCGTAACAGACCGACTTCGCTGGCCCAGTGGAGGAGACTCTGGACCGTCCAACAATTCTGCTATGATATGGCCTTGCATTAAGGGTCGTCGAGCCATTGCCATATTTCCAGCAGAGTTTCGCGAGCAGCTATATACAGTGCGATTCCAGACTGCCGGGGATCGTTTGCAGGTATGGACAAGCGGTGGTGCTCGTGGCCGGTTCTTCTTGGGAGTCACTTCCTTCAGTCTGTTTCACCGATAATTAGATGCCAACAGGGCGCGTTCACATGGACTCAAGCCCGAAAATGAGCAAAAATGAGCATGATGAGTATGTATGTTCCCAGCATATTCTGCCTCTGAACCTGTGTCGGGCAGGCAACTCAGCAACTGGCAAGACGTTGGGCTCACCCTTCTTGGAAGTTCTATACTTTGGGCAGTGCCAGCTTTGTTGAGAACATTGGCGAGAGAGGTGCAAGCGAAAATGTAAACTCTACATTTCGAAATCCTCCGCCTTGACCTCTCTCGCAGTGTAATGCCTATACATGCTTAATGTATGATGGATTCTAGCTAGGCATAACTGCGGGTACCAAGGGGACACTTGCCTCATGAAACGCAGCTTATGCCCCGAAGTGTTTCAGATGTTCTCCTTCGAAGAACTTACTCAGAAGAAGCGTTAATCAATTGCTTCATGCTTCCGAAATGCCGAAACGGCGCGAGAACCTCGTTCATGTGTTCAAGCACTTAAGGATTCGCACAGGGAGGCAATCCAGGCACTGAGAGAGCTAGTTAGGCTTGCATGATTTGCATGGCTTGCATGGCTGCTTGGAGTTACTTGCAGAAAATGTGGATGGTTTCGCTGCGGGCTTGCTTTTTTGTGACCTGTGTAGTTCTCTCTTTTTTGAAATTTACACTTCGACAAAGTCCGATCATGGGATTGTTGGAAAACATGCTTCCAATCCCTGCATACCCCTTGAGTCGCTTAAGACACACCCCGTACAATGCCTTGAAGGGCTCTTTGAAATGTAAAATCCGCCTATGATCCTTGTATACCTCTTGGGTCCCTTTGAGAGACCCCGTATTTTGAGAGGTTCCTACCTCTGCAGTATCGGCCCTGCAAGACGCCAGTGCAGCGGGAGACATGAAAGTGCGGCAAACAGAGAGAATCTGTAGCACAATGGGATAGACTCGAGCGATATCCGACACCAGGGCATTGCATTTCTGCAAGTAAATGCAATCGTGCCATCGGCATCCGCGCACTCGGTCAAAGGTTTCGACAGGCAGCACTGCTCGAAGCCGTGTCTCAACAAGGTCCATGGTGAAAGCGTTGACACGAAGACAAATGCCCATGTCATCTGCTCGCTGCGCACAACCAAAGACTTGCAGATGCAACCCGCGTTGCTTGCGAACAAACCTTCCCAAGGAAGTCACATCCGCTTCCACAACGCGTTCAAGTTTCCTACTGCTCTGTGTGTGCTTGGCGTAGTCCCTCTTGACACTTCGGATCTCCCGAAGCATCTTCGTGAGCAGCTTGCTCTCCCACCCACTTGGATCCCAGCGTCTTACAGAGAGCTTGGTAGCTGGGCGCATGCCCATGTTTGTCCTTGTGCATGCTGCAGAAAGTCTCCAATACTAAGAGCAGCTGCTGCAGACCAAGACCTGTGTACGTCTCCTGCAGAACCGGGAAGCGCAGAGCAAGAACAAGCGGTGGCACCGGTAAGCACTGCAACGAAAAGAAGCCTTGGTGGCAGTACTGTCCTAGCGCGGCCTCGCCTGCAGGTGGCCTAGCTTAGCCGTGCAGCTAGGGCACCTCTTATGTCGCGCTGCCCATCCCGAGTCGCAGAGTTTGCTGAAGGCCTCTTTCTCTTTCTTGAGGTTGGAAGCGTCTCTTGTTGACAAGAGTTTGCAGGAGTGCCTTCAAGCCTGATCCAACTTTGCAACCTTGGTTTCGATCTGCAGCATCTGTCATACATCAACTGATCGATTGAAGGTTGTGTCGTGCCTATATCAATTGTTGTATGGACTTTTCGTCAAGGATGAGCGCGTCTCGACCCGATGCCCTCCACGCAATGCAAACACACCCTTTTGCCCACGCCGCCTCTTACAGAATAGGCATGTTGGGCCAAAACTGCTCGCATGAAAACGAAGTCACAGCTTTTCAGCAAGGTTCCAAGTGTGAACCTAGAGCAATCAATGCGACGTGCCCGCAACCACAGTGTCAGCGTTTGTTGTTGCATGAGAAGGGCAACCTACGTAGCAAGGAAGTACTCCGCAAGGAGACGGGGCAGTTCAGAGAATCGAGCAGACTCGAACTGTTCTCGACCCCAGCATCGCCTCCACAAGCCAGATTTCTCCGGCATGCCTGGCTGCACAATACGGTGCTTCTTGAGAACGATGAATAATGTGGGGCATGAGCAAACCCAACAATCAAAAAAGGGGAAAACCATTAAGGAGAGCTATTACGACAAAAAATCCAAAATAAATCTACAATCCCAGTACGCGTTCCTTTTCCGGAAGTGTAGCAGTGAGGACGACATGTTCAGCCGCACTCCAGACAGGTGGCCCCTCCGTGCGTCCTGACCTTGGCTGCTGGAGCAGCAGACGTCTCCTCTGGATTTAGGGAGTATAGTTTCCACTTGTATCCCGACTGTCCCATACCCTGTGCACTGCAACATACCAAATACTAGCCATCATAATGATGAAAAAACAGCAGCGTGAATGTTGTCGAAGTCCCACACCTGGTGATGTGATGAACATCAGCTTGATCTTGCGAGGAGTAGTCCCAAGAAAGCGTCTTGCCATTCACTGGCACAACATTTGCCGGCACTCGAGATAATTATGTTCGAAAACCAGCCAAGGGCTACAGCATACCTAAGCGACTCATGTCGATGTTTGACAAGCATAGTCCATGGCAATGCTCCGCATCGATGTTCTTTGAACATTGCGTAGCGTCACCGCAGCAGATGCAGCGTCTGGCGAAGAACAGACGAGGTGGTGATCATCTAGCTCCGGCGTGGTGCTCGCCCAAAATTTCGGCAGAGGGCCAACAGCGGCATGTCCGCACAATCTCAGCAACGTCACGGCCGAAACTGCTTGCACATTTTTGCCACCGCAAAACTGGGAGTATGATTTCGGTAGCAGGATGCAAAATGGCTGCTCATACATATAGATGCTGACCCGGAGACGTGCAGAAGCTTCTCTTTTCTATTGCCGCTTTGCAAACCTGATGAAATTTGAAAGTTTGTACATTTGTGTGCTGTTTTCGCAAAACTCAGGAAATTTGAGAGCTCGTGTGCCTAGTGCCTATGCCCTGGTATTTGTACTTCCTAAGGAACGTATTCACGCTGCCCCCCTCTCCGCCCGGCGGCACCCAGACGCTGACGTGGGCTACGTCTAGACCTAAAAACGTCATCCCTAAACCCTCAACCTAGACCCTCACAATCAACCTGAATCTACCTGCGCACAGGAACGTCCAAGCACGGAGACGGCGGATATCAAACCTCAGGAGCAGAAGCTCAAGGAGGAGCGGACATCCCAGCCTATCGACGTAGTGTTGTGAACTGTGTCCCGCTGCATAGGAGTCTTCCTCCGAGAAGAAGTTGGAGGATGCTGGAGAGGTGGTCGAAGAGCAAAATCTGCAGGAAACCACAAAGCATGTCTCACAAGACTCTTGGTCACCCAGAATAGCAAGTCCATCAGCGGACAAATCCTGGTCTGTAGAACCACCCCACTCGCATTAAGATCAATGATGCCCCATAACATTCTGCAGGAGAATGAGTCTGATGATGATGGTGAAGTTCTGGAGGAGCATGTCCTGCAGTTGGTGCTTTGGCCATTTTTTGAGGTGCTTGTTGAAGACTGCAGTTTGCCAAGAGCTGCTTTCTGCCGCGGCCTTTGTGATGGATCCAGATCCCTGTCTCCAAAACAGCTAAAATCCCCTGAAGCCGAGGGGCCGCATCAGCCACCGTTCATGCTGAGTGTGCTGGCCAAAAAAAAGACTTGGGCTCAGCTAGGACGATGTTGAGACTGCCGCGGATGATGCAAAAGCAGAAGAAGAGCAAGCCCAAGACGAGGAAGCCTGCTTTAGAGTCTTGGAATCTCTTGTTGGACCATGTGCAGATTCGATGGTTCAAATCTTAGAGCAGCCTGCAAGGGCCTCTCTTCAAACTCCGTCAGTTCATGTCCAAGAATGCACAGGAGTCCGAGGATGCTGGAGAGGTGGCTGAAGAGCAAAAGCTGCAGGAGACCACGAAGCATGTCTCACGAGACTGTTGGTCACCGAGAATAACAAGTCCATGAGCGAACGAATCCTAGTCGGTAGAACCACCCGACTGGCATGAAGATTTTGCCCCACAACATTCTGCAGGAGAATGATTCTGATGACCGCCAAGCTCAGGAGGAGCGTATCTTTAAATCCTGAGACAGTTCACGGTGTTAGCAAGTGCAACTGCTTTGGGGTTGTGTGGCATCTTCAGTCATAGAATTGTGTTCGAGTTAGATGACCCACAGGGTATGCAACGCTGGCTGGCATTTTTCAGGGCCGCAGTTGTCAGCCTCATGAATACATCAACTCGCCCAAATCCGATGGCCAAGCAGTTGGACGTTAAAGCGGTGAGCTGGCTCGATCGCAAGGGAGTGGTGCTCAACGGAGAGTGGGGGCGTGAATATAGATGCGAATGGTACGAGGTAATGTAGGGGAAATGAGTAAGTCGTTTCAACTAGCCACGGCAAACGCTTGTCAAGTCAAGGCTTTGACAAGGAACCTGAGAAGATTGATGGACAACAACTCTGCGTGACTCCATATGGGCGTTCCCAAAAATGCGGGGGGGGGGAGGGGGGGGGCCTTGTTGGGAGGTTATTGCACATCTAGGGGGAGGTACCTAGGCCGACCCCAGTTCCTGGAGTTTCCACGTGAATTCTGGGCTGTGCTATAAGTGCTATATGGAGTGTCGTGCAAGATTCGGTCCAGGTACCTTGCACGACCTGCTTATCTACTTGGTGCTAAGAATGCCTGGCAATGAAGGAATCGACCCATGTACTACTTGGCACATAGCGCCTCAGTATGCTCCCGGTATCGCATAACTCATGCCCGCTACCAGTAAGTTGTCTTGGCCTGCGATCCTTCAATCTGGTCCCTGGCAGTTTCCAAGCCCAATACCCCTTAACTAAGGAACATATAGCAAAAACAGTGAATCAGGATCCCTCATAGAATTTGGCCTCGCCAGGAGGGAGATGCCTGTGAGACTGGATCAGATGAAAGCGCAGAGGAGGAAGCCAATGACGAGGCTACTGTCCCCCAACTAAAAGAAAAGGATTTAAAGAGAACAGGAAGTCAGAATTAAGGGCCCAAATCAAAGAGGAATCCAAAGGTAGGAATTGTTTTCAGTTTCTGGGAACTACTTGGAGGTCCTCGGGTAATCACAACTACTTTTTGCTGTAGTTGTATTAGTCCCCAGTTACTACCGTATTGGTGATACATAAGAGTGCAAGTACCAAGCAAGGACCTTCAAGTGGAGGTGTTCCGAAGACAAATGTCCAGCATGTCGTCATGATACGTAGTAGGATGTTTGGAATGAGCGTTTAAATGGACCATAAATATCAGGCATTTGTACATGGGCTATGGCAGGGTCCATGCCTCCCTTCCCCACCCCATACCCTGAAATCCCAAGGCCTAAACCCTATAATACAAGATTGTACTTGTTCATCCTGTGCTTTCCTTATTCCCTACTAACCCGAATTGCATATTGTAATTGTTCATCATATGTTTCTTCATTCCCTGCTGAGCACCCGGTAGATTCAAGCACTCTCCCCCAAGCCTTAACAACAACAATAACAATAGTAATGATAATAACAAGAGTAACAATAGCAATAATAATAATCGTAATAACAATCATAGCAGTAATAGTAACAGTAATAGCAATAAAAATCATAATAAGTGCAGGCTCAGGGATGGCGGAGTCCTATGGGCCCCTCAGGGTATGTGGGGATTCTAGGGGGGGCTATGGGGTCTTTATGGGTCCAACCTACCTGATTTGCATGTGGTTTTGACCCAAAAACTTATTCAGAAACCCATTCGGATATGAATTACATGTTGTTCAGGTACTTGGACCCTTAAGGTCCAGCGCCCAGCATACCGAGCATGACGCCTGCATGTCGCTCCTGACAGTTTGATTTTTGCTTGAAGGCTGTTGGCTTAATTCAGGATACAAGGAACTTACTCATGCGAAGCCGAGGAAGCCTTATGGGGATTGTTGGCGAAAGCCCTAAACTTACCCTAAACCACATGCACAATCTCATCTTCTTACCCAGAGGGACTGCACGCAGCCCCAAGCTGTTGAGGCTCCTTGGCATCATGTACTCAGGAGCCTCCGAACAGGACAGACCCCTCTCAGAAACCCGCCCTTTAACCTCTAAACCTTAAACGCATCTGAGCGCTTCCTTTTTGCAGGCCGGTACTCCAAAGAGTGAAACGGAGACTGAACAGGAGGCAGATTGAAGATGCAGGGTTTTCCTGGGTTTTCCAGAGTTCCCTGATCTGCTGGGCGGAGGAATGGGCGAGAAACATGAAGCTATTACATGGCTCATGATTTAGGGTTTAGGGGATCATTTATCTAGTGAGTTCTTGTGATCGTGTTATTGTGTCTTGTGATAAACTCCAACAGAGGCTAAACTTCTTTTTGAGACGACTGCGGGACAGATTGGGTTATGTTTTTTTGCCAAGGAATAGAAAAGCTACTTGAAGCTTTCTTATCACACGGGCTCAGACTTCAGTAGGTCCTTTGTGTTTTGGTCGTTTGTGTTTTGTTTGGGAGGGATTGGTGGGCGAGGAGGGTGGGGGCATGGGGGTGGGGGGCTGAGGGGGTGAGGGGTCTCTGTTGCATAAGCGCGAAAGCACCTTCTGTTGTCTCAGCGTCTATCGGTATGTAGGCTGAACGCTCTAGGTTTGGGTTTGGATTTTTGGGCCCAGGGTTGTGGGCCTTGGACAGTTCCGAACCGACGCCCGTGCATTGGAGGCTTCCTAAATTGTGGACTGGCAGACACTTTTACACTGCAAGATTAGACCTCAGAATCAAGAAGGAACAGGATGCGGCTTCCCAGACTTCCAACACAGCTCCTCTTGTTATCGGCCGGCTGCCGAAAACAATGTTTGGAGAACACTAAGTACTGACCGTCCCAGCCTTCACTCCTGTTGAACTTACTGATGCGCCATCCGACACTCGAGGACTACAGTACATCTGTTCAGACCCCTGTGTTGAGTGTGGTGCAACTTCAGCGGTTCATGCTTTGGCTTCGTGAGTATATTCAAACCAGTGCAGTAATTTGCAAGCCTGCAAAGTTGAGACCATCTAGTCAGATCTCCAGCAAAGTGAATTACTCAAATCCGGCCAACTCCAACTCAACGACCCCTAAAGTATCCCCCAAACCCCAGACTAAGCTTCAAGCCCTAAACCATAAACCTTGGTTAAGACCCTATACATGGTTCAGCTCCTGCTGAGGTCAAGCAGATCTTACTTCTCCCTCCTGTGTTGTGGTCGGCTTTCTTTCTCCCATGATTGTCCCCTCAGCTCCTGCGGTGGCGGTGGGTGTTCGTTCTTCCAAAACCATCAGCGTTGTTTATTTGCTGAAGCATTCAGGCTGCCCCCGTCCCTCTGTGGTGTGGGTGGTAGTCTTCCTGCCATGGCGATAACATGCGATAACTGTCATCATTCATTGCTGGCGTCATTCTGATCTTCCCACCCCCTTTTTTGTGTGGATGGGTTTCCTCCTCCCAAAATTTTGTGCATTATTGCAACTGAGTGTCACCCTGCAGCAAAGGGCTGTCCTCTTGGTGGAAGCCGCACTTATGTGGAATTGAAGCCTGTAGAAATTCTGCAGCAAGTTTAGGGTTCAGGTCGGTCAGATCTTCCCCATTCGTGGCTTTCTCTTCCTCGGCAGTGGCGGTGGGGGACACGCACCATCTCTGTGTTCGTTGGCATCTTTGAGATTCGCAACCTAACAAACTTCACAGCTCGCGGATCGTGACCTGGACACCCACCATCTTTGCGACTGTTCGCACTTTTGAGAGTCCTGGTCTGGAGGTCAAGGGGCCACACCCTTCGGGGGGCTGTCGACTGGACAACAGATATCCTTGTCTTCCGTTCTTGAAACTTATTAAATCCTACGCACAACCCCGGATGCGAAATGTCAGGACGCCATGGCAGTTGACGAGCAGGATGGATACCAACTTCACAGCTTGTAGTGTTAGTTACGCGTTCAGGGCTTAGGTCCTAGGCTTTACGCAAGATGTTTTAGAGGATCCATAGGGTTTAGGTTTTTGGAGGTCAGGCTTTAGGGGTTGAGGTGTTTAGCCTTCAGGGGTTAGGGTGCAGTGTTCCCCAGCATGTTGTATTGCTGTTGATGGGGAGCCCAATCCAGAATAACAGGACCTCTTCCCTTTGGATATATCAGTTATTGATGTAACTAGATATTGTCTTACTGGGTTCAACTACGACAAAAACCTACTAGTCAGCTTGTGCTGGCTCAAAACTGGACGGACTGGGCTAGAGGCGGGGTTCGGGCGTTGAAGTTCAGGCTTATTCCTCCCTGTCAGTTCTTGACATTTTTCATGGAAGAAGTATTGACCCCAGAACCTTTTCAACCTCACTCGACCTCATCCCAAAAACTGTATATGCAGCTCATAGTACCAAAACGAAATTATGCCATTCCAATTTAGCCGGCTTATGGTATCACATGCCTGGAAGCCCGACTGTTTTGGGTGGCCTGCCACATGAAGCCTTTCAAATCCTGGACCTCTTCGGCCTCATCCATTTTCTGCACTCTGCTGGCTTGTGCTGGTAATCATGAATGATCATTACAGGGAAGGAGGAGGGGGCAGTGCATGCCTATACTTAGCCATTGCCTATACAGTTTCCCATTGCAGTCTCGACAGTCTCGAGCCTCACTCCACCGCCATAACTAGCCCTACAATGTTCCTTATCGTCATCCCTCCATTCCCCCTTGAGCACCAGTAAGTTGTGCTGACAAACCAAGTCCAGCCTTTACCCCAAAAAAGGGGAGCGTGAAACTCGCTATCAGGGCTTGAGGTTTGGGCTTGAGGCTTTTCCAAGACTGGAGATCCAAACGGACAAGAAAATGAATTTGCATGGCAACTTGGGGTTATCGAGCGGCTCATATGGGTCGGATTCTGAGCTAGCCGGGCCCATGTGAGTTTTTAATCGAGAAGTGTGGTATGGGATTCCTCATAGACGGAGTGCCGTGGACTGAGCAGACATGTGGAACCTCAGCACTTTTCATCCCGTAATTGTCGGAAGGACAAGACGTCCGAGGTGCCGACAGATGCAGAGGCCCCGCTCTGTTGCGGTAGCAATGAACGTCTGTCCTTGTGATATGGGCCTCCTTTCAAAGATCGCTGAACCCTAAGAATTATCGGATGTCAATCCGGAGGCAGGATGAACGGCTTGCGGTGTTGTTCAGCTTGCAGCGGATGTGCTTCCCGAATTTGTCCAGGAACTTACTCATCTTAGCCAGGACGTCCTTTACGATCATGCCTCTTCACACAGCCCTTCATTAACTTTCACCGACAAGTCTGCACGGGGTTGTTTGATGTATGACTAATTACATAGTGGCTTCTCAGGGTTTGCCGTGTATAGTCCCTGAGAAGGGGTCCCCTAAGCCAGTTGTAAGCCCCCACAACATCCCCACATATCCCTGGAGTGTCTCAGTGTATCCTAATCTTGCGAAGCCTCCAGATAACAATCATGCAGGACGCCTCACAGATGCCACGCCGCCGTAGGAAGAGGAGGCGCCGCAGATGCTCAAGCTGCCACCTCAGCACTCCTCCAAAACTGAGGGGTCCGGGGTGTACAGCTTACATGTGACGTTTAGGGTTACGGTCCCCCTGCCCAAAACCAATTTGGAACGCCCAAAAGTTGCCGTGTGAAGGTCATTGTCCTTTTCGAGGAGGCCATATGGGCTTCCACGTCATTTTGTGTTGAGGAGGGCGAGTTGAAGCATTCAGTGCTGACAGGTTATGTGCTCAGTACCAGTATCCAAGAATTTCGAAGTGTAGACTTTTGGAGCTCAAGCAGCCTCTGCAAGGTGGGAGCTTGTCTATATAACTCTCGAGTGTTTGCCCCGTGGATCGGCCCTATCACCCCTCTAGGCTTTTTGTGGAAACATTGCACCCTGAACCATATGCCTCACTCCCCAAACAAGCCAGTATTGGTCCAGTTACAGCCAAGGTCCCAGCAAGCGTCCTCGTCGCCGACATGCTCACCGTAGAAGGCATTTCTGGTAAAGTTCGGCCCCAGTATGCAGCTTACAACAGGTGTTCTAGCGCAACCCTCTGGTATTAGATGGACAAGAAACTGGAAAATTACATGGAAACTGGTGGCGTTACTTGGGCCCCTATTAGAGACCCTTTACACGTTGGGTGGCTGCAACAACAGGTCGTTCGCTTCCTGCTAGGGTAATAAATCTGTGCATTTGCAGGCATGAGCTGCTACGATGGTCCGGAGGGAGCTGCTTATAGCCAACCAACTCTGAGCTTGAACTGCTGATGCGCCGAGCCATTTCCACATCTCGTATATCATGGATTTGTCTTCTGGAGGTCGGTCCACGTAGCATAGATAGCATCTACCTGCAACTCAAACTATAGCGTGGGGCTTTCTCGTACATGACCCGGAGAGCGCAAGGCCGGCAGGACTCCTCTCCGCAGAGAGGGGAGCCAGCAGAGAAATGTTCCCTCCAAAGCTTTTATGACAGTGGGTCTCCAAGCATGCGGGCAGGCGGAACTCGCGAAAGTTGCGTAAGCCTCGCGCACGCCTGCTGTCCAGACAGCAGCGTGGTGAGGCGAAGGCAGGGCGCACACAACGCAGTGACGTTGCTGGTTGTTAGTATAGAGCGGCCTTCCTTGAAGGACGGAATGGATCCCTGAAGTAGCCCTGTAGAACTTCAGGCGTAAAGTAGTTGATATTTTCTTTTCCGCTCTTACAATCAGCAAGTGATCCCAGAATACATGTTCCTGTGTTGTGCTTTATGGCGGAGCAGCACAGAATGCACACACATTGAACCTGGTAGAGAAGGGCCCAAGTTCAAACTAGGCAATATCCCATAGTCTTGTATACATACTAGCAACTAGTACAGAAAATGCTAGGCTAGTGATTCATAAAAAGCCTTCCCAGACCAAGTCCATGTCATCCCGGTTTCATTTTGAATGCTGTTCTCCATTGGAATCACCCGTGGTAATAATCCAACTACTTAGCATGGAACTTGTCATCTGGGTAGGGCTGTGGAGCTCCGCCCTTCAGGGTCAAAGTTTGAGGTTCAGGTGTTCCGTACGTGTGTTTTTGGTTCTGAATTCAGTTTCAGCATGGTCAAAGGCTGCTAGGCCTTGAATGGCCTTTTGCTGGCAAGGTTCGGACTTTGGGGGCTATGGTTTGGGATCTCACTGCCTTAAAGCTGTTATATACACCCTAGAGGAAATTATTTAAGGGCTGCCGCCG